GCCGCTTCCGGCTCCCCGGACCGCCCGAGATGCCTGGCAACCAGCGCCGCCGCCGCCGCCATTCTGGCCGGAAGGGCCCTGGGCTCGACTAGCGAGACAGATCGAATTCAGATGCTCCACTGTCTGAAGGAGAATTCCAGTGGCCGGCTGCTCCGATCACCACTAGTACCCTGGCAAACTGTTCATAGACACGCGCGAATGTCCCTTCTACTACTTTTTCCTATTCGCTCCCTTCACACGTTCACTCACATGCCCTAGCACATGTGCTGGAAGAGCAGTCAGGGGAGCTTAGAGCTTGACCCAGCTGCGGGGCAGGGCCCCGGTGGGGAATATTTCTCAGGGAGAAGGCCCCCGCACGCAGACGGGTATGTCTCGCCACCTAGCAGGTGAAAAACACCGCGATGAAATATTCCCGACAATACGAGTAGTCGTGCTAGGAAATATCAATCAACTAGTTCCTCTGAAGCTCTCGGCTTAGTGGTACCCTGACCGGATTGGGGAATAACACCGTAATAATTTTAAGGTTGTCGCGAGCGGAAAAGGAAGAGAATAGGAGGGTACAGCCGAACCCTGTGACTTTCGAGAATGATACAGGTTAGGAAATTTCGACTTACAATCAATTGGGGGTGTCGTGAACAGGCGAAAAACACAAAAATAGCAACTCTTCGTGAGAACAACGAAGTATTCTGAAGTGGATAATTCTTCAAAAATGTCAAAATGTGTTCTCAAACAGCATTCATTTTGTAAAGCCAGCAACTCTCAATTTCTTAATTCTGTCCTTGACATTTTACGAAACATTCGAACATCCTCGAATTACCCTCCAATCCTGCACATTATTATGTTCCACCTTTTCAGAATACATTTTTACACACACAAGACAACCAATTTCCTGATAAGTGGCTATTACCTTTGGAGGGACGAATTTTAATTATCACCATCTACAATTTTCTCCAATATGCAACTTATCAGCAGATGAATGCTACTGAATGGACAGTAATGGGAACGAAAACAAAATCCAGCGATAACAAAATCCAGGGGTGGGGGTGGGAGTTGCATTAAACTTACGCCGTTTTCCAAGAACATTCACCGCCCTGCATTCCATGCGTTCACCAGCTCTTTCCAGATTTAGCAGTTTCGGCCACGTCAATAGAAAACCTACAGCCGACTGGGTGTCAAATTCTCAACAGAAACATCTCCGGTATGCTCAATTTGTACGGATGGCTAAATTTTCCACAGCTCAAAGAAACCAGCCCTTTTTACTTTCCCGCATAACACTTTTATGCAGCATAGGGAAAGTATTGCAATGTCACACAAAATTTCGACAGGAAAATTTACTGCCGGACCGTGGTAATGAAGTGCATACATCTTGTTCGAATAAGTCTGTGAATGCAACAAGAAAACTGAATACTTTCGTCAGACCGCATCGGTTACTGCTGGCCTTAATAAATCATGTGATTTGCATACTCGAATTAAAATAAGTCTAAAAATATCTTAAAAAAAAACAAAAAAAACAGAATGATACGTGATATAAGTGATTTTATTTTGCTCGTAGGATTTCGCCACTCCATCTATCTATCTCTTGTAATCTTTCGCCTAATCGCAAAATAAAAATGTCACGTTTACCATACTTATCATAAATAACTATTTTATTTGATTGCAATTTTATCTTACAAGGCTTTTAATAACCTTTTACAGTAACATTTAGGTGAACATTTAGAATTCGGCTTCCATCGACTTCTATGAAATTTACTCTAGTTCTATTATGTCAAGAATGATAAAGACTGCATAATGGATTTAATGTGTTTAACAATGAACGCATTAACTACGGTAAAAATTTGTGAAGATTAGGACAGTCTAAACGTATCTTTCAAAAATTGAGAATTAACACTTTGTGAGATTTTTGAAATTCGTTTTAAGAGTAATATCAATTGCTATTAAAAATATTAAGTTCCTCTTAAATCTCGTAAACTAAATTCCGTAAATGTAGGGCGTATCGAACATAAAATAACACAGAAGTCATACTAAAAAAAATGGGAAGCAAAATATGACAGCAACAAACCGCAATTACTTTTTTTTTACAAGAATGACTTAACCACTCTTCGTACATTTTGTAATGTAATAATCCCAAATATAGATTTTTGCTGCAGTTTCAATACGAAACATCTTATCTGATCAATTTTTCGAATACAATAACTAATTTGATATTACATATTAATAATTCGTTATTTTGGAATTGTAGGCAAGCAGAATATTGCAATTTTCTTTGAAACTATCTGTGTATAAGAAATATATATATAGAAACCACTCCGCAGGTAAAAGTTTACCGAACTCACATAAGAAAAAGTAACCCAAGTCACAAAGTCCACCCAAGAAATCTTGGCAGCGTAGTAGAATAGCAAAGATGCCAGATAGTTTTGTCGCCTGTACATCTACAACTTTCTCTTGTGACCGCAAACTAACACGACATTTCAGCAAAAAGACATCTGCGAAGAGAAGCTTACTTCAATTTCTAACCAGTACAGCTTTTGAGGAAAATAAAGAACAAATGCCTCCATATTGCCGTGTAGTACATTTTCTGGTCCTTAACCAACCTCATTTGAAACAAAAATTCACTATTCAACGAAATTCTCAACGACTGACATTGTTAAAACGTGAACGAGTAAAATATCACGACTAGCAGTGTTTGAAGTTTTTATACATCCCGCACTGATCTAAAGCAAGTCTTGTCGGAGTTCGAGACCAAGTCCCGAACCTTTATTTTTAAGACTGCTTAGAACCATATACTGGAGCCCATACATTTACATACTGTAGTAAGAAGGACAGGCAAGTAACAACACACGAAGACAAAAGGGCAAGTACAGAGCGGTATTGGAACCCGCGACCTCTCTGACCAAGACACTAGTCGGTTTGCGCTATCTCGGTCAGACCGAATTATCTTCGTGAAGCGAGGGGTATTGCGGCGAGAAAAATCAACATTCAAATTTAATTCAAACTTTTGTGTTATCTAAGTTGTTCTTTCATGCATGACTTATTAAATTAATCAGATACAGACATTTCCTATGCATTTTCTAGTATGATCTACTGCAGAGTTATTACCTTTGAAGTAATTAATTACAAATCCAAATTTGGTTTATTACTTTCTCAGTAACAGAATTTTCATGTGTTTATATGCATATTTTTGGGTGTTTTTTAATATTACGGAGAAAGGTTTTAAAGAAACAAAATAGTTGAAACAAAAGTTTCACAAAATAATTATAATGAAATTTAAATTAAATGTATATTAAATTATCAGGTCTGTTTTAAATATATTGACATATTTTATAGATTAACGCTCAATTCAACACGTCAAGCAGCTAATACGATATAGTAAACTCCTTTGATTACGATGAGATTAAATACAAAACTAGTTCTGATTAATAAGCGTTATTAATAAATTGATGTACACTTTTAATTAAAAGCGGGAAGGTCAGAAAAAAAAAAAGAAAGCAAATGTACGAGTTATTCTACTTATTCTCATACTCTGTGCGTCGTCATTGCTTACAACTCAGCTGACGCCATGCGATAGCAAGGCTCCAGTGAAGCCATTAAATATTGCGATATAGCAAAATTCGTTAAGACTTGTTAAAACGCTGAATTTATTGCAGTGGTAAGAGTTTTTTTTTTATTTGTTCTTGAGTAGTGAGCGTGCTACTTTCTGGAAAATCAACTTGTGTGCATTTCTTCGACAAGTGTTGGCCTTTGATGGAGTGAAACCGCGCGAAAACCCATAAGCGGCAGCCAAGGTCCCCGCCCCCACCGCGTATCCCGCAAGTATTTCAGAGTCAAGGAGGAGGAGGGGGGGAGAGGGAACATTTCGGATTGGGCCCTTCCCCTAACACTTTCGAATTAGTTTTAATCATAATTTGAAATAAAGAACAAAAAAACTTATTCAGAGTAGGAATGCTCCTTCGGAATGCGATATGATCAAAAGGGGATAAAATTGTTTTAAACAATTTAAATAAATTTACGAAAAATTCTGGATGGTTCCGCCACTGCCCGACACCTGAGCAGCCAGTAAATTGTCCTCTTCCTTCGCTCAAGTTTTATCTAGGTAAATTATTATGACATACGATATGGTATATTCGTACAAAGGGTATCTAGATAATATTTAAGAGGGCTCAGTTTTCATGAAAATTAGTAATGAAAAATACTAAGAAAAACAATTACTGGCACAAATTTCATAACCAAATGAACATTACGAAATACTTAGTATTATCTACGAATATAAATAGTATCATGAGTGCCATTGAAATTATCTATAAATTCACGACTCGCCAAACAAATGGATGATTTTATCTGAAAATTTCGATAACACAAGTTCAATAACCCCCCTTAAAAAAGGGGGCTGATAAATTGTGATTATTAAAATCAACATTAGTTACGCACTACCGTATTTTAGTCAGGAGGGGGGGAATGTGCTTAAGAATGATTTTCTGTTTTGTATTGCTTTGTCTATATTTTCAATAAACTAAGTGGTTCAAATGAAAAAAATTCTGTTGCAGCACAGTCATTGTGAAGCCAGTACATCTGCAAGAAGAGGAAGTCTTCTGGACTGGTCAATCCAACTACATAGCATATCCATAACAGATTTCATGCAAGTTATATCAAGCTTAAAAAGTATCCGTAACCCACAAACGGAAGAGTATAATAGAAATTCTGGGAAAAGATGAAGTGAACGGCGAATTTCAGGACTCCTTTCTACGTAACCAGATTTCCATATTAAAAATTTAGATTTTCTTGCCATTTTTAAAATTGGAATAGCATTAAATGAGTTAGGTAAACCGTTGTATAATTAAGCGAATATCTGCAAACTACGAAATACAATGCCTTTCTCAAATCCGAACGTAAGAGCTGTCAAATCTAGTGTGTAGTCATTTACACACAACCCTCTCAAAAATGCCCTTGAATAAACCAAAACTTGATTAAATAACGACCAAGAAAGCACTATGATTTCGGAGGTACTATGGCGGCACAGAATGCTTGTGGTCAAGAATGCCATGTTCCACAGACTGACAAGGCAACTGTCAAGGCCATGGCATTCACAAGCCCACAATCAAGTACATAACTCTTGAGATAACATTTATTAATCTCCAATTAACTCATCACACACTACGTTAATTAGAACTGTGAAACTTCTACAGAAGGTGAACCAGCTAATATATTCAGACCCGCACGCACCAATATTTCCGGAGGGGGCAACATCCTTGCATTCTAAATTGGTTTTAGGGAGAGGATTTGACAGCAACCACAAGACCTTCAAACGCAGAAACAGAAATACTACCAATTATCAGTCTACACTAATGATACTTAATATAAATTTCATGCACGGTTACTACAAGCCTATTAAGAGTCTCAAATTATTTACATTTGGGAAAGTATTTATCACAATGTATATTGTGTTACATTGATCTAAATGGTGATGCTCTCCCGACATGCCTTCAAATTTCTCTACATCGTGTGATATTGTAAAACTACCAGGACTTCCGTTCTATGTAAAAAAAGTCAGTTTCCATTATGCGAATTTTCGCAGAATGAAGTGAATGAATTTCTACATCAGAAAATCGCAATCTCTAAGCAACCTACCATTAACTTCCATTACCTACCTTCCTACTCTAACCAGAAACTCCTCTTTCGTGACATTGACGAAAAGAGGTTTCAACGGGAAATTAGATCTGGCGTTCCGGGACGTACGCCTATCATAACTATAACATTCTGGAATAGTTCTACTGATAGCAACTTATAGTTCAGAAAAGGTTACTATCAGTTACCGTGGTGAAGGCAACCACCCTCCCCCAAATCTCGTAAGAATTACGAAACGATTGTGTATTAAGAGTAGAGTTTTCTTTTGACCTAAAATCCATTCCTAAGTATTTGCAACGCACCTGGATTAATGTTAGGTTCCTGGATGATACGTAACCCACCTCGAAACTTGACATAAAACGTGTAACTCATTAAATAATTCACAAATCTACTGTGAGTACTCTTAAATTTATATTCAAATACCTCAGAAATATTTGAATTCCCTACAAATATATACACATGGGTAAACCGCGAAGCGCCATCAACCTTTGGCACAGCAAGCTCAAGGGCGACCATACGGGTAAACGAGACCGTGAACCAGCAAACATGGCAACGCCGCAGGGCAGACCAACCACTGTGGGCGTGCCCGCGCCTCTATAGACATCTCGGGATTGTTCGCCCGTTCACCGAGCTGAGGTGGGCCGTGTCTCCCCCGCCCCCAGACGCCGTACGGATTATACCTCCTCACCCTCCAAACGTCATACGCACGACCCCAAAGTCCGGTCCACAGGCGGGAAGACGTCCCACCACGAACGGGAAGAAATGAATAATCGTGCAACACCCCTCTTGAAATACCACGCATTTTCTCCCGAATGTCGGTGAGTCAGGTAGTCGTACGCTACAACTTCGGTTACATTCCATCGTGACGTTCTCACATGAAGGCCGTAATGCTGGATGAAGGTGGCAATGACGCTAGCTCCTCCGGCTCCAACGCATGGTAGCTCACAACACTTTCTCTCATCCAAGAGTGAAATCACGTACCGTGGAGAATAACATTAAGCGTGCAAGATGCTTGCGGAGATTAGCAAGATAGTCGCGAAAAAAAAAGTAAACTAGCCAGCACAATGTGCGCTCGTATTTTACAATTTCTCTTTGACTTATGAATGCTTAGAAAACTAGGTACATTCATTTACCAGTATTTTATTACGCTCGAGTGCTAAGTACGGGTAAAAAAGAAACACCGGATTTATTAACACAGATTTAGAATCCGTACAAATTTAATGAAAATTATCAATAGTTTCCTGGAATGATAAATTTAATTCTCGTCAATAATATACATCATCCTTTCCAAGTTTTCGAAAACAATTTTGGAAATCCATGCAGTATATATACACAGCTGTGAATACGATTCCGAGAAAATTTCAAGAATGTAGTACTTAAACAAAATTCTCAGAACATGTCAAAGAACAATGCCGGTGACAGTACGCTCATAGGCGCATCATGTTCTTGTGACAATAGCGCTACAACCACAATTCTATTCGAAAATAATTTGTAAAAGTTCTGGAAACAATTATTGCGGGGCGTATGAACTTTAATTACTATAAAAGTAATAAACGAGCAAAAAACATGACATGCTCGCCATGCATTGTAACGATTCCGAAGTATATCATGGAAGTACAAAAGTCCCAAAAATTCCTTACAGCACCAATTACGGATGAAATTTACTCACCAGCACTTTGGTGAATCTTCTTTCCAGCTCATTGGCATCAGGCATCGGTTGTTTCGTACGAATGCTTGAGCGGACATTGTGCGGTTTGTTAGCGAACCCCTCAGAAGGAGCAGGCTCGCTTTTTGTGCTCTGGGAGCTACCCATTTCCACTAAGATCACAGGTCACAAGAGGATATAAAATAGCAGCTACTGCTGTGCTTCAGCAACAGGTCCTCTTCCCTCCATCACACACGGAACATCACTTAATCACCACCATACTTCGAGCACACACTGTAAACACTCGTCACACGTCCTTACTGCTGCTCGAGGAACACTGAACGAACGAGCGGGCAACCTCACTGAGCATGCGTCATGGAGGACAAGAATCCCAGTGCATCAACACAAGCACAGTGCTGCGACCTAGCGGTAAATAAATGGCGCCCAATTCAAAGGTAGTAATTCTGAATTCAACATTCCGACCTCCACGTGTCATATTTTTCTCCACTTCATTTAAGAATAGGCGCTAATCGCTTCTATTATCAACGCCGTTGAGAAGTCTCATTTGCTTCCAGTCAAAAACATCATGGTTTGTTAATAAATTACTAAGGGCAAATTAGGGAGGATTCTGCCTGAACTAGTTCATGCAATACATGGATTATAAAGTCAATTAATAATTTTAAAATGCTGGAAAATGTTGATGCGTGAAACGAAAATATTTTAGTCATGAAATTTGGGTAAAATGATAAATATTGCAAAGCTTTAAAAAAAATATTTGAAATCCAATGAAAAATTGTACTAGAACTGTGAAGAACACATATGTACCTCTCAAATTTTGTGTAGTAATTGAAACCTACAGTTCATGAAGAATTTCCCAATTGTATTGATCAATAAAAGCCTTTTCACTCAATAGAATTATGGAATGAAAAGTAGTCTCCTACTGGTCAAAATTTTATTTAGAGTAAGTAATACAAAAAAGTCTCAGAGCAAGATTTTGAAATTGGTGATTATAGGTAATAATTGGGCATAATAGTTTGTTCATCTGTGAAGAATCTCTATAAAGGATCTATTTACGTAATGGTCAAATCTCAACATAACATAAAGATGTACTTCAGAATAAATTCAACAACTTAATACAACAATTTTCTGGGTGTATGAGAATGCACATTAAAGAATTTCAACAACTGAAACTTTGAATAAGATAGACTTTATTCAAGAAAATATTTCATTGGTATACAAAATTGTTAATCATCATTAACTATTACATATAGATGCAAATACAAAGTTAGAAACTTCCCTTTTGTATCTTCATCTATTTGCCTTTTTAACTCTTAAAACTCACTCACCAACATAATTCCTTTCTGACCTGCAACAAAAATATCAATTTAATTATTATTATTTTTTTTTAAATTTCACATACAATTACTTGAAAAAAAAGTGCTAGAAAGACAAAGGACAGGAATTCTGAAATGAAAATAAAAGAATTAACATCAAATAAGTGACACAGCTCTGTGGTGTCACATTATTATGAATGTTCTAATTAAAAATATCTAAATTAACAAGAAAATTATTCTTACAATCACCATTCATTCTGCCAAGAACCATGATCACAACTGAATATTTGTAATGATAATAAGAATGTAGTATATATTTCAACCTTAATTAATTATAAATACATTGGAAGTATTTTTATTATATTTTATTTTGTTTCATTCAAAAAAATACTAATTAGGTAAGTGGAAAACTACCATAAAAATTATTCTTACAAATTGGCACACATTATTCACTTGCCAATTGATAATTTTGAAACAGTCGTTCTCAACTAAAAGAATTACACATGTACTTCACAATTACACAGAAACTGAAACTCTGAAATTAATACTCACTTGGTAAAAAACTTGTCCAAAATTGACAAGGTTGAAAGGGAACTCTGAAAACTGCTAGGGAAGAAGTGGAGAAATATTATGGTATATCATATTATCATCAGTGCCAAAGCTTGACAATTTTGGGCTCAGGGCAATACTGAAACAAATTCCCCCCCCCCTCCCCAGTGAAATTATTAAAAGTGTGAAAGTTGTCAAGAAACTATATGATTTATTTTATTTCAACAAATACCAAAAATTACAATGTTTAAGACAGAAAAAAATCTTTTGAGAATGTAATAAAAAAAAAAAGAAAAGTATTAAGTAAAAATAATAAGTGATCAAATAAAACAATTTCCACAGTGAGCTTAAAACGCAAAAAAAATTTATTGTGTTTAATAAAATCGTCCCCCCCTCCATGAAAAAGTAAAAGTGGAAAACTTGGGTCAAGAAACCATGATTTATTTTATTTCAACAAATAACAAAAATTACTATGTTTAAGCCTGTAAAAGTTTTGGAACATTTATTTTAAATAATAGTTTTAAGTAAAAGTATTTAATAATCAAATAACACAATTTCCACAGTGAGCTTAAAATGCTAAAATGATTTGGGTTTTTTAATGTTAGCGTCATTTGATTCATTTCACAGAGTCCTACCTTATAAGCAATAGTCATAATTAATTATTTAAGATAAAAAATTGATGGAAATGTTTTGAAATATCAGACTATTGTACCGTGACTTACAAAAAATACAATAACAATTTTAGCAAGTACTAATTTCTTTTACAATTTTTTAATACATTCTCCTTTTTAGTCCCATCCTATGACTAGCGGGGCCTAGGGCAATCGGCCCATCTGCCCATGCCTAGAGCCAGCACTGATTATGATGTATCAGAAAACAGCGTGTAGAATCAAGAAAGATAAAGAAAGATTTGAGGTTTACAGGACAAGAAAAGGATTAAGCCAGAGGGGCCCCATCAGTTCCTCATTATTAAGCCCCCAGAGAGTAAGATTATTAAAATTTACAACTAGAGGGGGCATTTTTATGATGTCACATGCTACACATAATCCTTATTTAATTTTTTTATGTAGAATAGATATTCTTTGCCTTCTGATGAAAATAGTGTTTCTTGTTGGGAATATTAATGCATTTTTTGGTATTAATTTGATCAGCATATTTATAAAAACTCACAATATAAAGTCAAACTTTAACACATTCATTTAACTTATTGTTGAACTTATTAGAATGAGTAGTTATAAAATGGCAAAATATTTTTTAAGATAACTATAAAGAACACCATTTTCTTGGAAATGATGGTCCAAACTGAACTGTGCATGGTTATTTTTATGGTTGTAAAATAAATATTTCAATACTATGTAGTACTTTTTTGTTCACAAATTTGAACGAAGAACTATTATTAGTGGCAGTAATGTACCAAGTTACAATGAAAATAGTTACAGTACAATTCAATTGGATTAAGAGTAATATAATTATTGACTGCAATGTTCTGACTTCTGTTTCGTTCTGGTGAATTGTTTTCATAAAATATTTATGAGTCAGTGGAGTAAAATATTGACATCAGTAGAGAAAGAAATGAACAATTTCAAGTGATAATTCTTTCCATGACATTTAAATTGAATCCCAAATCACTAAAAAAATTAAGTTTTTCTCAATTAAAATGTAAATTTTTAAACTAGAAGTGGAATTTTTTTATCTTTTTTCAGAGAGCATTATTTGTCTACTCTTGGAATTAAATAGGGAAGAAAATACATTGGGGTTGCTAAGGTTAAGGAGGAAAGTCTGCACTTCATTAGAATAATTGTTATTCTTCCACTGTAATGAAATAACACATTATTGTTGTCATCCTTTGCAACATAAATTACATTCTATACAAATACTGGAGTAGCGCAGTGCCAATGGTGAATCCAGGTATCCATCTTCCCTTTCTCCCATATCACTGCACACACCAAAAGGGTATGCGAACGATGCAGCTTCAGCCCTCCTCCCAAAGCCAATGACACATGAACAAAAAAGTTTTCGCAAATGTTCTCTAATTATGTAAATAAGTCAATAACTCAATTAAATTCATTACAAATTACTATAAATCAATAAATATAGATCCCCCAAAAAATCCTGGTTCTGCCACTTCCTAAATTCCTTTTTTTTTTATTGGTTCAATTTACACCAAAAAATGTCCACATTTTGATCACAGCACATTCCAAAAGAATACTCAGTTTAAATTGAAGTAAGAGTTTATAAAGAAAAAAATTCAAATAAAAAAAAGTGCAATTTTTCTTTAAATCAATTCATTTGGCCAGTTTCCCTTCAATAACTATGCCACCTTGCACATTTCTGCATTAAATTATCCATTTATTCTTGTGGAACTTACAATATCCAGAAAATGATAGAACGTTCGTGTCAGTTGATGCACTTTGCCATTTTTTCCCACACTTTCTGTAAACCACCTGCAACAATTGCAACAACAGCAAATAAAAAGTGTTGCAAAAATTACAGAACAATCCAGACCAGAAAATGTTGCTGGAAACATGATGAAAACCACCATCAACAATTCCAATCAAAACAATTTCATATCTGAAAAAGCACACTCTTGAAAAAAAGGCAAGATAATGAAACTACTGCAGCAATTTCAGTATTTCATTCAGTATTGAAAATAAGTACAGAAAAACCCCGTTTTACGTTTCCGCATTTTACGCTTTTCTGCCTTTTCCGTAATTTTGCGTTGGCCCCGTCGTAAAGCTTTTATTTACAATTCATTCTATATCTGCAATTTACAACTTGATATGAAGAGTTCTTCCTATCTTCTACGTCCTTTAAAAAAATATTCTTTTTACTTTCTTGTATACGTATGTATTATACTTAGTGCACAGAAAGTTATGTAATGCAGTGTCAAAAAACGGCGATTTTTCGACAGAGGAACTCGTATTAATACAGAAAAAGTGGAAAAATCCTGTTCCAATATGTAGTAAATCACTACAAATGTATGAAACTCGCAAAAGCCTCGAGCTTCGTTCATATCAATCGGGGAATACAATTTTGGAGAAAATCGGCAGCCGGCACTTAGGTGCTCGCGTTAATCACAGACGGACAGACGTTTTGTCGTTAATTGATTTTGCGGTTTCAACGACACATAAAACGGGGATTCCGGTTACACCACGCGTTAGAGGTAGTAATTTACTATAAATGGGAGTATGATTTATCCCCTTGTCATTACCAGGCCTCAGGAGATTTTCTGACGAAATTCGCCGATTCCGGCGCCCGATTTTACTTTCTCTTCTTACGAAGGGCGAGAAAGTAAAAACAGAGCTACAATTCCAGTAAATAATGAAAGTACTAACATAGACTATCGTTTTTAACTTTCCTGTATTTTACACTTTCCTACATGTTTTTGCATCGGTGCACTGAAAAGTGCAAAAAAGGGGGTACGTCAAATATGGTTAAAGAAGA